TCACCTAATAAATCACCCATGAATTAACTTTGAACCTCTTTTACAGAAATAACACAAGTTACCAATGTGTAGAAAATACGCCGTATCATTACAGGAAATTATGTGAGCTAGCAAAGGGACCCGATGGACATATATAAATCAAGCCCTATAATCACAACGCTACTTGTAAACCAACAAGTTCATCTCATGATTATAAAACTCTAGCGCTATTCCACTAAAAGCCTAGAACTGCACTCTAGATTTATATAGCGTATTTACAAAGCTCTGATTAGCTCTAGTCCATGACTCAATATATTAGTGTATCATCCCCATAGGATATCCATAATAGACTTAAGGTCAAGTTCCGTTTTACCTTCCCGATTACATTTATCTTATGTTCCATTATCATACCATCGAAAAAATACTATTCGTACCATTACAAACAGTAAACCATTAGATAACACAGAGTAGTCTAATGGCCAAGCGCTCGTATTTTCCAATCCACTGATAATGCATAAAAGAATATCATTGACTCTTTATAGGAGCTATGGATTTCACTATCTATGAATAACGAATCTACGCATACACGAGTCATACCCCCAATGTACTGGCAAGCGTACCTTTACATAATGTCAGGATGTCTCCCTTTAGTACATCAAAGGATACAAGTCAAACATACGGGTTCATCATCCATCTCAGGATTAAGATGACAACATATAATTCGTCAAAAGTGAATTGTTTTATTCAAACAGAATTATTAATTAAAACAATTCAACTTTGGTCCGATCCAATATAGATTTCACCATTAGAAACTATATCAATGTCTCCACCATGGAGTCCCCCCTCCGATGACCAAGACAAGCCGTCTCCGTTAGGAAGTAGACAACATAACAATCTTAACATGAATAAAGCGCCCAACTTTATTTCCTCGATTGTGGATCATAAGATTTAGACTATCATCTTTAGATTCTTGTCTTCTGCATGTTCTTCACATTACATGCATGACCTAAAGATTTAGAATGACAGTCTCAGACTTTGAGTTTGCTTATTATACATTCAACTATTATGAACATAAAGAGGACAATACATAGATATATGAAATAAACAAATCTTTATTAATAGTCAAAATATCTCAAAGAATATTGTTACATTTATTCCTAAGGGCATAAACGTTAACAAGCTCACTCTGCCCCTATAGACTTTTCAACGGAGTGGAATTGGCACAAACGGAGGTCACCGTTGCGTTCAGTGTGTCGAAATGAGTCAGGGTATGGACTCAGATCTTCGATCGGACGTCAGGAACCTCAAGAACTGAGGCTCACCGGAGTCGGCCATACACCGCGGCACGTGGCGGCGCGTGCGGCAACTCGGCCGGTTGGATGGTAGTGATTCTTCAATACCCACCAGTTTTTGACATCCTGAGTTCAATTGTGGAATCAATTTCACCAAATTCAGTCTCTAATTGCCCAGATCAAACTCAAAAAGGGCGACAAAATCAGGTGACTTTGATCTTAATTCTCTTACTATGGAATCTTGAAACTGGTTGAGGGCTTTCATTTCCCATGATCCTCTGAGCATCTTGATACCAAAATCAGGATGATCCAACAATTAGATCGTCAGAATAACCCTACAACACGACAACGGTGGCGGCGAGCTTGAATCTCTGGCAATCGGTGGTGGAACCTCAAAATTGAGTTGGGGCTTTTGTTCAACGTCCCGTTCTGAGTATAACGAGCCTGATGGTATCGCTCACAACTGCCAGAAAGGCATAGTTCAGCGCTGGTTGGGCTTTCTTCATCTCTTCGAGCTGAGTCCATAGGGACCGGAATCACTCCGATCGGAGGTCGGACGATAAAGTTACGACGGTGAGAAGTTTTGGTGGTTTTTAGAACTTTGGCCGGTGATTGCGGCTTATTCCAGTGGAGTTAGAGGTCGTTCGACATGTCAACATGCTCAGCTCGTTGAGAGCTTTCCGATGGTATGGGCGGTGTCGTGAAACGACACCGAAATCTTATCGGTGGTAGGTGGCTTGTGTGGAGAGAGAGAGAGAGTCAACGTGGTAGAGAGAGAAAGAGAGAAAAAGGAGAAAAAGAAAGAAAAAAAAAAGGAAAAATGGGCTTAGACTTTCTGGGCAAATTTGATAATTAGACTTCAAAGTCTAATTTGAATAGAGTATGGAATGACCCATTATTCATGTTCTGAAAAATTAGTTACCAACACTTAAAACTGTTCGAGGGACAGTAGTGTCAATTTCAAAACAATCATTTTTAGAGGAAAATGTCATTTACGTGATAATTATAACTGAAATTTTTTCACTAATCCAAGATTAATTAACACTAACCATTAGATTAAATTAATTAATCTCAGTTAATTTAACCGGATGTCACACTATCTGTCTTTCTCAGCTGTTTTTATCTCCCTCTCACTCTCTCTCTCAGGCTGTTTCTGGCTGAACAACAAGAAGCAAAAAAAAAAAAAAAAAAAAAAAAAAAAAAAAAAAAAAAAAAAAAAACAAACAAACAACAAAACAGAGAGAAAGACTCTCCAACCGGTTTGAGGTAAAATTTCTTGAGAAACCCACTCTTGTATTTGAATTCTTAGTTTAAGGAAGTATGATTTTTGTTAAGATTTGATGAATTTTAATTTAGGTTTGGATTTGGACAAATTGTGGTTGAATTTAGGGGTTTTCAGTTCTTAAGTATATTGAAGTGTTTGAAAACTGGTTTTAGCAATTTTCCATGGATTTATCTTGAAATCAACTTTAAAATGCGAGTTTTGCTATTGTTCTTGTTGTTTGGCTGCAGCTTGCTGCAGCAAAAGTTGCAGCAAAACCGGAAAAAAAGAAAAGAGAGAAAAACTTTAACTTGAATTATGAAGTTGTTTGTAAATTTTGGATTTGAGTAAAGGCACACTAATAGGAAACAATTATGCATAATTGAACTAGATTCATTTTCGGTTGGGATCTCAATCCTAAAACATTGTTTTGATGACAAAGCTAGCGGCACGATCAAGACGGTTGGACAACGTGAAGTTATCCGTAGATTTGACATCCGAGAGGTAGGATGTTCTTGTCCACATCCTTGTTAGCATGTTTTAAATATGTTTTGCTTATAAAAACACATTTGAAAACATTGAAACCTAAAGAAGAGTTTTATATGATATTTTCTTAAAATGAGATATTTTAAGAAATTATAACTTGCTGATGGCCTAGATCGGGGTATGGAGATCGTATCCTTGGGAGCAGGTCCCAAAACCTATACGGGCCACTACGGTGGTGACATTATGGCCTTGCGATAAAGTAAGTGACTCATCATGAACCACTTACCATAATACGGACATTAGAGACTTACGTTTATTTCCTTTCATTAAAAAGGATATTCGGTTTCAAATGATATATTCGAACCGTGTACTTTCATTTATATATTCAGTTTTAAAAAAATTATATGCTATTGGGTCTTTCGCTAACTTTTCCTATATTCTCAATGTATTAAACTCCTCCAAAGTTAGCAGTTTAGATTCACTGCATGGCATGTGGATGTCAATGGATTGAAGGCACGAGATTCGAAGTGGTTAGTTTATTCTAAATTTGCATTTTTAATTCTGAGTTGTATTTTATTTTTGTATATAAACTATATTGATCGACATTGTCCCAGAGTTAATTTTAAGCTTTATGGATTGTGTTTATAAATTGTTTGTAAAAGAAAGACTCCGAAGCAATATATTTTAATATATAATTTGACATTTATGTATTTATTTTCGTGGTTTTTATTAATCACTCCAGTTTAATTAAGTTAATTTTTTAATTATATCTCAATAATCACAATCTCATCTTTGAGATCGTAACATGGAGATATATGTAGTTAACACTTTTATGCTAAATATATGGGCATGATCCAACATGTATGTATTCTTTTGACGGCCTAACCCACTTTCTCATGCGGTCCACCAAGCTCATATTTCCCGCATTCGGGACCGGGCTTCGTAGCATTAAGCCTTACTACGCTTAGAATCATTCCCATAATTCATTAGAAAAACAAAAACAAAAAAAAAACAAAAGTTTAAATTCGTAATTTTTTCGTTTCAATTCTGATTGAGATATCATTTTTTTTTTCAATGAGATCTTATATTGCATATTTTTTAAAGTAATTTACTCTTAAAAATGTATGAGTCAAGATTTTTACTCTTTATTCTTAATTAATACCCTTTTACTAGTATAGCTATTTAATTAAAAATATTATTAATTAAGACTAAAGGATAAACATCTTGACTCATGTATTTTTAAAAAGTATTTATTTTATTTTTTTAATGTTATTTGCAATAAAATTTTATAAAATTTATTACGAAACTCTAATGTAAAAGCCTACATTTTATTCATACAAGTAAGATTTTATTCAAAATTCAAATTATAATTGATTTACGTATTAAACACCAAATCGCAGTTCAAATCACCATAAATTCAAACCAAATCATATAAGGTGAAATAAACATGACCATTAGAGTATGTTTGATAGGAAAGAAAAGTAGAATGAAGGAAGAAGGTGGAGAGATTTTATGAGGAAAAATGAAATGTAGGTTGTTTGGTAGGAGAGAAAAGAGAAAGGAAGAGAAAATAGAGTGTAAAATAATACATGTGGGCCCCACCATTTTTTTTTTCCACAAGTGGGCAGAAAATGGAATGAAAAATGGGGACAACTCATTAAAGTGAGCAAAATTACTAAATTATCCTTTTCTCCATCGACATTCAAGCAAAAAATTTAAGGGTATAAAAATAATTTACGAGTAAGATTTTTTCTTTCCTCCCAATTTAACTTTCAATATCAAATAAGTGAAAGTAAACTCATTTTCTTTTCATCTTCTCATACCAAACAACATAAAAAAAAATCAATTTCCTTTCCATCATTGTTATTTTTCATTACTTTAATATTTTTTTTCTTATCATATTTTCTTTCCTTCCTACCAAACATAACATTAAAGTGCGGGCCCCACATGTCCGCAGCAAACCTCGAGTGCAGGGCTCCAGGCAGAGCATCTTCGTCTTCATTCTTTCACTTCGCATCAACCACTTCGTCCTAAAACCCAAAATCCCTCACTCCTCACTTCTCCGTTCTCCCTCGTAAAACCAAAAACACAAAAAATGAACTTAACTAATTCCGAGAAAGCTCCCACAACTTTCCCACCTCCCAAACAACCCCAACCCCAACTAAACCTCCAACAAGCCTTCACCACCTTCCAACACAACTGCTCTTCTCTCTTCAACCAAATCTCGCACGACACCAGAACCCACCTCCAATCCACTCTCTCCGACCTCCAATCCCGCACCAAATTCCCTTTCTTCGAACGCTCCTCCAATGGGTCCTCCGGAAAAAAACCGGTTTGGGCTCGAATTTCCCCAACAAATAACGCCCCCCAAATCCCGCGGAATTCTCGCGTTCGCTGCCCTAGAACAGGAATGTCCACGGAGGCGATTGAGGAGCGGTTGGCGGGCGTCCCTGTTTACGCGCTTAGCAACGCCTCCGAGGAATTCGTGTTGGTCTCCGGAGCTTCTTCTGGGAAGTCTCTTGGGCTGTTTTGTTTCAGGAAAGAGGACGCCGAGGCGCTTCTTGATCAGATTGCAAGTATGGACCCAAGAATGCAAGATGGCTCCAAAGTCGTTGCTGTTGCTCTAAATAAGGTTGTTTAGAGAAAAAAGTTTTACTTTTTATTTTTTATTTTTTGGGTCCGATAATTTTTGTTTTTTGGCAGGTTTTTCAGCTCAAGGTTAATGGGGTGTCGTTCCGGTTGATTCCCGAGACTTCTCAAGTGCAGAATGCGCTTAAGGTGAGGAATTTAGAATCATTTCAATGTGCGTATTGATTTTAGCCATTGTTTGTTTCAACCATTCGAATTGTTGTTTAGGATTCAAACCGTAGTTTAGCATTCGAATTGTTGTTTAGGATTCAAACTGTAGTTTAGCATTCAAATTGATGTTTAGTAATTCGAATTATTGTTTAGGATTCAAACCGTAATTTAGAATTCAAATTGATGTTTGGTAAAGGACAATTCAAACTATTACTAATGATTCAAACCCTTAGATTTTAGAACTCACTACCCCTTAAATTCCAACAATCCTAGGGCTTGTTTGGTTTAACAATCCAGGGTTTGAACTATTGTTAGTGATTTGAATTGTCGTTCAATTTTCCCCTTCCAAACACCAATTTGAATCATGAACTAAGGTTTGAATTCTAATTGTTTTTTATAGTGAAAACAGTTCTGATTCTACTTTTTCTCTCTCTCTTCAATTTCAAGCTTAAAAATGTCACAATTTCTTCGTTTTAATTTCGATTAAGATGATTTTTTTAATATGTTCATAATGAAAAGAGGAACAAATCTCGATCCATATTGCATGTTTTTGGTAACACATGGAAGAAAATGAGTGGGAATAATAATTCTCATTGATATTGAATTATTAGTACACCAAAATATATAAGCTATTCTAGGAGAAAGAAGAGGAAACTAATCTAACCAAATAAGGGAAAAAAGTCTTAACGCTATATCCCATAATTCTAGGGATTGTAATAACTTTCCTAATTAAATATATACAAGTTGATTTGTTTCGTATTAATTCGGATATAAAAATTTTACAGTCCAACACTCCCCTTCAAGTTGGGAAGTAGACATCTTCCACTCCCAACTTGGAAGTAATTTCATGCAAAGTTGCACTGTTGAGTCTCTTGGTTAAAACATGTACTAATTGACTCGCTAAAGGCACGTATGACATGCAGATCAGACCTTCTAGCTTTTCTTTGAGGAAGTTTTTGTCAATCTTGATATGCTTCGTTCTGTTATGTTGTGCTGGGTTATGAGCGATGTTCATTGCTGACTTGTTGTCACAGTACAGCCTCATAGGACCTTCCCACTTGATTCTCAAATCATCCAGGATGATCTTTAGCCAAAATAGTTCACACACTCCATCGCCCTGAACTCAGGTTCAACACTAGATCTTGCCACCGCATTTTGCTTTTTACTTCGCCGTGTTACCAAATTTCCTCCAAGAAATGTACAATGACTAGATGTTGATCTCATGTCCACTGATGAACCTGCATAATCTGCGTCTGTATAGGCTTCCAACCTAAGCTCATTATTCCTTTTGAATAGAACTCCTTTTCCTAGGGAGCCTTTTAAGTAGTGAAGTATGCAGTAAGCAGCTTGTAGGTGTCTCTCTTGGGTCATGCATGAACTGACTGATCACGCTTACTGAGTAAGCTATGTCTGGCCAAGTATGAGCAAGATAAATGAGTTTCCCTACCAATCTCTGATACATCTCCCTATCAACAACTGGCTCTTCCTTTGCTTCTCCCAATTTCTTTTTCGGCTCAATAGGTGTAGCTACTGGTTTGCAACCAAGTTTTCCTGTTTCCTTCAAGAGATCCATCATATATTTTTGTTGTGAGATAACAATGCCCTGTCTTGAGTATGAAACTTCAATTCTAAGAAAATATTTTATCAGCCCAAGTTCTTTTATCTTAAATTCCTTGATCAAGGATTGTTTATATTTTGTTTCTCCATCTCATCATTTCCCGTGACAATGATATCATCAACATATACCAGGAGAACTGTCACTCCTCCTGTGGCTGAGTGTTTGACGAAAGGAGTATGATCTCCTTGACTCTTTCTGTATCCTGTTGCTTTCATTAATCTAGAAAATATTCCAAACCAAGCTCTAGGCGATTGCTTTAGTCTGTATAGAGACTTCTTCAGTCTACACACTTTGTTAGATGTACCTTCTCCTTCAAAACCTGGTGGGATGCTCATGTAAATTTCTTCTTCGAGGGCGTCGTGCAAGAAAGCATTCTTTACATCATACTGCTGAAGTTGCCAATTAATATGAGCAGCCAGAGATAACAAGATCCTTACAGTATTCATTTTTTTTCATAGGAGCAAACGTCTCCTAATAATCGACTCCATATGTCTGAGTATAACCTTTAGCAACCAGTCTCGTTTTATATCTTTCAAGGGAACCATCAGCCTTGTTTTTCAAAGTAAAAACCCATTTGCAACCCACTAGATTTTTTCCTTTTGGCTTATCAACAATCTCCCATGTTCTGTTCTTTTCCAATGCATCCATTTCTTCTCTCATAGCATTCCTCCATTTCCCTTTTGACAATGCCTCAGATAAAGTGTTTGGAACAGGAAGTGTTTAGACTCGCAATGAAATTTTTGTGGAGGGGTGAAAAATGGTTAAGTGACACATAGTGGGACAATGGATATAAAGGTCTCTTTGTGCATTCTCTAGTGCCTTTTCTAACAACAATGAGAAGATCAAGATTCTTTTGTGGTGTTTCAACGGATTGTGTATGCAAAGGTAGATCAGGACTTACCACAACTTTATTAGCAGGGCTTGGGATGCATTCTCGGACTTGTGTCAGGTCTGGAACAAATGTTTTTCTCGAGTACACTTGAGGAAATCTAAAAGAGTCGTAAACACAGACAAATGCTGGAGTGACAGGAGTGAACAACTCCTGGAGTGGACACAGTTTCTGGCTCGGAAGTGGATGCTATTTCTAGCTCTAGAGTGGACACAATTTGAGGAACTGGGACAGACTCGGTAGATGGGGCCACGGGTTGTTCAAGACCGAAAGAGAGCTCACAGTCTTTATCTTCCATAGATAAAATCTCCCCCTAAAGATAAGACAGTGAGAAGTATTGTTTGTTTTCAGCAAAGGTGACATCTGCAGATATGTAAAATTTTCTAGAAGGGGGATGATAACTCTTATACCCTTTTCGTGTGGCTGAATAGCCAAAAACCACACATTTGATTGCTTTGGGATCTAATTTCCCTTTGTTTCGACTATGAACATGGACAAAGGATGTACAACTAAAGACTCTAGGAGAGCACGAGATCTCTTGAAAATCCCCATACCTTCCTTTACTCGTATTTGTCGCCATTGTTGATTCTTACTTGTCGCCATAGTTGATTCTTGGTTCCATTAATACAAAATTCTCTTCAATTAGTCATCTTTCTGTGTCAATTACTTTGGAACTTATCAATTGGTATCAGAGCACTTTCCCGGGATGACGAGGAGGACGGATGATCGCGATAAGGAGAGAACGGAGGTGTGCAGGGAGGAATTGTTAAAGGAAGTAGAATCCATGCGTGAAGATCTAGGAAAAATAACTAGGTTGGAGCAAGGGCTCGAGTTGTTGCTGATAAGAATGGATGAGTTGTTGAAACAACGAGTTCCTGAAAATCGGGAGTCTCCTGAAGCGGAAAATGGAATTCCGACGGAACAGACGGCGCCGACGGTAGAAACGGATTACAGGCCAGCGGAATGGCGAGAGGGGGCAGTCGCACGAAATTTTGTACTCGACGGGTGGAGATGCCGGTTTTTGATGGTGAAAATCCAGATGGCTGGATATTTAGGGAGGAACGGTATTTTTCCATGAATAGACTGACGGAAAGAGAGAAACTGGATGTGGCAGTGGTGAGCTTGGAAGGAGAAGCTCTCGCTTGGTTCCAGTGGGAAGATCGGAGACGAGCGGTCCGGGATTGGACGAAGTTGAAACAGATGGTGTTGGAGCGCTTCCGTTCGACACAAGAAGGAACTCTTTGTGAAAAGTTCTTGTCTCTGCACCAGGAGACTACAGTGAGGGAGTATTGCCGGCAGTTTGAGACGTTGGCCGCGCCGCTGGCGGAGATCCCGGAGCAAGTGCTGGAGAGTGCTTTTGTGAATGGCCCGAAACCGGAAGTGAGAGCAGAGGTTAGGATGATGAAACCCAATGGGTTGGGCCGAATAATGGAATTCGCCTAACGGGTGGAGGAGCGTAACCAACTGGTACGCGGGCCAAAGGCCCAAATGTCTTCATTTAATTCCTGGAATAGGAATAGTTCTGTTTCACAAGGGCTTGGGTTGAGGAGTGGATTGTCGTATGGAGGAGGTACAAGAGCAACAAATTCCTCTGTGGCTGTCGGGCGTCCTTCGGGAATTTCTGAGAAGGCCAAAGAGACGACCGGTGGAACGGCGCCGTACCGGAGGCTTACCGACGCAGAGATACAAATGAAGAGGGAGAAGGGGCTGTGTTACCGTTGTGACGGTAAGTACTCCTTTGGACACCGTTGCCCTAACCGGGAATTGCAGGTGCTTCTTGTACGTGAAGAAGAGGAGATTGCAGAGGAGCAGGAAGAAAAAGCTCAGCCAGGGGTGGATGAAGAAGTTGTAGAATTGCCCCTCAATTCGGTGGTCGGACTCACATCGCCGAAGATCATGAAACTTAAAGGAGTGCTGCGGGGACAAGAGGTAACAGTTTTGGTAGATAGTGGAGCCACGCATAATTTCATTTCTGTTGATTTAGTGAGAAAAATGGAATTGTCAGTAGATAAAACTGGAGATTATGGGGTGATTATGGGAACAGGGTTGTCGGTTAAGGGGGAAGGCGTTTGCAGGGGAATTGTGGTATCCTTGCAAGACATAGAGGTGGTGGAGGATTTTCTGCCCCTAGAGTTAGGGAGTTCAGACGTAATTTTAGGAATTCAGTGGCTAGAGACCCTCGGAAATATGACGGTGAATTGGAAAAATCTCACGATGAAATTTATGGTGGGAAACCGACATGTGACCTTGAAAGGAGACCCTGGGTTGAATAGGACTTCAATGTCTTTAAAGGCTTTGCAGTGGGCGTTTGACCAAGAAGGGCAAGGGTTATGGCTTGAATGGAACCACGTGGAATTGGGAACCTTAGAAGGTCATTGCAAAATACCGGATGAATTGTCAGGGGTGCTGGACCGGAGAGCATCTGCTTTTGAAATGCCACCAGAATTGCCTCCGGAGCGCGCAAAAGACCATGCAATCGTACTTAAGACAGGGACTTCTCTGATTAGTGTCCGACCTTATCGATATCCGCAGGTCCAAAAGGAAGAAATCGAGAAGTTGGTTGGAGAGATGTTGGCCGCAGGGATTATTTGACCTAGTGTGAGTCCATATTCTAGTCCCGTGCTTTTGGTCAAAAAGAAAGACGGGAGTTGGCGGTTTTGCATGGACTATCAGGCTTTAAATAAGGAGACGGTGCCAGATCGTTTTCCTATTCCCATCATTGAGGAACTACTCGATGAGCTTCACGGAGCGGCCATTTTTTCCAAGATCGACCTTAAGTCGGGTTATCATATTAGAGTCAAACCTGAGGATGTGCCCAAAACTGCTTTTCGCACACATGAGGGACACTATGAGTTTTTGGTAATGCCATTTGGACTCACAAATGCCCCCGCAACTTTCCAATCACTAATGAATGAGGTGTTGCGAGTATTCCTCTGTAAGTTTGTCTTAGTTTTCTTCGATGACATACTTGTCTATAGCCGGACTTTGGAGAAATATGTACGTCATCTGGACCAAGTGTTGGCGGTTTTACAACAGCACAAGCTTTTCGCTAATGCGAAAAAGTGCAGTTTCAGCCAGCAGTCCTTGGAGTACTTAGGACATATTGTCTCGTGTAAGGGAGTGTCAGCCGACCAAACCAAGATTGACGCAATGCTGAAGTGGCCAACACCCACGACGCTACGTGATTTGCGTGGGTTTTTGGGGTTGACAGGGTATTATAGAAAATTTGTTGTTGGATATGGCCACATAGCAGGACCATTGACAAAGTTGCTCCGGAAGGATGGATTCCATTGGAATGAGGAAGCGGATAGGGCCTTTGTTTGCTTAAAAAGTGCTATGTCTTCTGTGCCGGTTTTAGCTCTTCCAAACTTCACAAAACCTTTCGTGCTCGAAACGGATGCTTCAGGGTTTGGTGTGGGAGCGGTATTAATGCAAAACCATCAATCAATTGCATATTTCAACCAAGCTCTGTCGTTGCGGGCTCAGGGGAAGTCAGTTTATGAGAGGGAGTTGATGGCCATTGTGTTGGCGGTGCAAAAGTGGCGGCCGTATTTGCTAGGATGACATTTTGTGATTCGCACTGACTAGCGGAGCCTTAAGTATCTTTTGGAACAACGTCTCATGAGTGTTGAGCACCAAAAGTGGTTTACTAAGTTGTTGGGATATGATTTTGAAATTCAGTTCAAACCGGGGCTAGAAAACCGAGCCGCAGATGCTCTATCGCGTGTTGTGCATTCACCGGAATTGTGTGCCTTGTCGGGATCCTCTATCGTGAATACACAGGAGTTACAACAACAAGTTTTGCAAGATGAGCAACTGGGACAAATTGTCTCCGCATTGCAATTCCAGCCTGAAGCCCATCCGGGTTATTCTCTAGTGCAGGGGCGGTTAATGTATGGTGGTCGGATGGTCGTTCCTTGGAGTTTGCCTTTCATTCCTAGGCTGCTTCACGCTTATCATGATGGGGTGATGAGGGGTCATTCGGGGGTCCTTAAGACTTACCGCCGCTTGGCAGTGGATTGGTTTTGGCCGGGAATGAAGAAGGATATCACTTCATATGTGGCTGCGTGTGATGTATGCCAGCGCTGCAAGGCCTCCACATTAGCGCCTAGTGGCCTACTACAGCCATTGTCCATTCCGGACTAGGTATGGGAGGACATTTCAATGGATTTTATTGAAGGGTTGCCACGTTTGGAAGGCTTCGACATGATTCTAGTGGTGGTGGATAGGCTTAGCAAATATGGGCATTTCATAGCTTTGAAGCATCCCCTCTCGGCTGAAATGGTGGCTAGGATTTTCATACGTGAGGTGATTTGCCTCCATGGGGTGGCGCGTACAATTGTGACTGACCGTGATCGAATATTCCTTAGCATTTTTGGACGGAGCTTCACAAGCAAATGGGAACTACCCTCGCACGTAGTACCGCTTATCATCCTCAGACGGACGGACAAACAGAGGTGGTAAACCGGCGTGTTGAAACTTATTTGCGTTGTTTTCCCTCGGACAAACTAGGAAAATGGCACCGGTGGTTAGCATGGTCGGAATATTGGTATAACACTTCATTTCATACCTCGGCATGCACTACTCCGTTTCAAGTGGTATATGGCCGTGCTCCACCTCCATTGTTGCGTTATGGCTTCAGGGCGTCGGCGATAGACTCGGTGGAGCAGCAGTTACAGGAGCGGGATGCCATGCTGGACTTACTTAAGTCTCTTCTGCTTCGCGCTCAACAGCGAATGAAAGTGGTGGCTGATGGTAAACGTCGGGATGTGCAGCATGCGGTTGGTGATTTGGTGTACCTTAAATTGCGCCCTTATCGTCAGGTGTCTTTAGCTCGGCGCCGGAATGAGAAGTTGAGCCCCCGTTTCTATGGTCCCTATGCTATCACTGCCCGAGCGGGGCTTGTGGCGTAATGCCTTCGATTGCCGGAGGAGGCTGCCATTCATCCGGTCTTTCATGTTTCCCAACTGCGTCGTGCCCTGGGTCAAGGACAGGCCGTGTCTTCAATTCCTCTTCAACTTTCTGGAGATTTGGAGCTGCAGGTAGCACCGGAGGCTGTGTTGGGGGTGCGCCAACGTGTTACAGGGGGTCATGCTGAGTCGGAGGTCTTGATCCGTTAGGAGCACCTTTCGGCCCATGAGGCGACCTAGGAGTCTTATGAGGCTATCGATCGCCAGTTTCCTCATTTTCACCTTGAGGACAAGGTGAGTCTTTGGGGCGGGAGTAGAGAAGGAAATTCTGTCCAACTTCCGTGGTCATGGAGTTTATTAGCCATGACATAACCATGTGATTTTCTGTTTTCCACGTACGATACTTGGGATTTGTTGTCGCCAGAACAGGAACCTCACCGGTGAGATACTCATCTTTTCCTCTGCCAGATACATATATGAGGACGGATTGTGACCACTGAAGGAAATTGTGGCTACTGAGTTTGTGACTGGTAACAGGAAGAGGTGAGTTTTCGATGATATTGGCTGAGGGATTATCAGCGTTGATGGCTGGGGAATTATGCTCGGGTTTTGACTGGACTTCCGAGGAACTGGTTTGGGTATTCATGCCTTATTTTGTCATGATGAGAGATTGACGATAGAGTGGATTAGGGTTTTGAATCCGGCTCTGATACCATGAGAATTTCGGTGAAGAGAAATTCAAGGAAATACAACCCTAATATTTATACTTGAGTGGCCGGCATCCCAGTCCACTTATTCTAGGAAAATAAAAGGAGAATCCCACAAAGTTAGGAATCTCAACAAACTAGGTAAGTAACTAAATTAGGAATCAGTCAAGTCAATAACTAATCCTATTTATTAGGAAACTAAATAAGAAATCCTAATTTATCAGATTACACAAATAACACTATACTAATCTATATAACCTAATCGGCTCCTTTCTACAGGTTCTTGTTACAAAGAGACTGGTTTCTGTTACAAAGAGACTCGAGGGGGAGCCCTTGCAAATTGGAAGTGTTTGGAATAAAGAGATTATTGACTTTAAGATATGTTAATGTATAAAATTATTGTTGACCTACGTCTTAATAATTTAAGTTTTTGAGATGGATTGGTAAACTAACATTCTTGATTTTTGCTTTAAATACAACTCTTTCAATCTGACATTGTGAAGAATGAAACAGTCTAGAAACACGGAAAATGAAGTTGGCAAACATAAAGAAATACCATGCTATCCGTATATCTCAGTCTGTGGGTCCAAATGCTTCCTATTCTTAACACAAGCAAGAAGCATGAAGCAATAAGAAAGCAAGATCAAAGATGAATTAGCTCTATTTTTATGTTTCTTGATGGTGATAAATTGTTGTTTAGTGCTCCGTTATGAACTCAAAATCTCAAACTATTCATAAATCCTTATTTTATGTCTCATTTTGCTAAGTAATTGGGATTTATTGTGTAGTCTCTTAGGCTCTGTCTGATGTGCAGGTTTTGGTTACATTGGATAGCATTGCTAGTTAATTCATAGATGTCAGTCCTTTCCAATGCCATTCAATCATTCACATGAATAAAGAGCTCCTAGTTTTTAGCATTTTCTTGTGTAAATATATTGGTCTTATTGGGACTTTATGCACTAAAATCCTTTTTACCAATTAAAGTATTTTAGTTGATATACTCCCAAGGGGGCACTCGTGGATCCCTTCGATTAGTCATGGCAATGTCTTGGACACCACGGTTATCAAAAAAAAAAAAAATCCTTTTATGCGTATGGATATTCTTCCAAATAACAAAAAAGCAATTTTTAGAGCTCCTTTCAAACAAATGTGCTCTTGGAATTGTGTGTGATTCATCTTTATAATTAAGGCCTTGTTCATTTTACCGATTCGAGTTTTCAGTTTTAGGTTTTTACAGTTAAAAGCTCTCAGAAAATGTCACATCTTACTTTTTCTACTATAGTTAAAAGCTTTCAAAAAATATCACATTTCAGTTCGAATTGAAAACTCAAATCCGTGAAGCGAACGAGGCTTAAGTTTGATGGCACGGAAACCTTAATTCCACCCACCATTTAAATAGAATGTGATTCCATAAAGTGGACGCTTACCTCTTTTGGGGACCGAGCATACATAATTACCGTTTATGGCACTTTAACAGAAAAAAATCATCCTTCTCTATCCCAAATGGAGTGGCTTTGTTAAACAGCTTTAGTATGCAAAAGCAAGCAAAATCAGATTATCAATAACCAATATTTTTATCTGCTTATTTTGTCAGGAGAGAGAGAAGGCTGGTTTTTCTGATGATGGCTTCCCTGGTGTTCCGGTTTTCCAGGTTCTTGCTTCTCTTCCTAATCTTATATAGCATATTTGGTTTTCCTTGTACTCATATTGCGTTTGTTGCATGTAAAACTGTGCTATTGTTACCTGCTGGTGATCTGCAGTTACTTTTGAGTGGACATGTTTTCTAACGATTAACAAAGTGAAAGTTTATTGATCATAAAATTTCCATTTAACATCTTCCATCTTTCACGATTATAGGCAGCAAATCACCATAGTCCTGCATTTTATTCGTTCATGGAGAAGCTTATGAGAAATAAGCAACGATGAATTGGATTTCCTTTTTCAATTGACAAATTGTCTCTAATGCATTTAAAGTCGGAAATGGAATTTGGTTGAGGGACGAAGTGAAGGTATCTATCTTAATGGAACCAAGACGATGTTATGAATTTTCACGAGTATGAAAGTGCAGCATTTTCTTTTTAGTTCTAATATTTACTAGGTGATGATTCTACATATCTTTTGAACTATGGGACAAAGATTAAGATTTTAACGAGTGATGACTAATAAAACTGAGTTTTCTGTGCATTTACTGATAGAGCTACAGAGTGAACCCTTTTTTTGTGTGAACATGGAGCCATCTTGCCATTAATACAATCTTAAAAATATTATGCGTCGATAATACCATGCTATTTTTTCTATTTTAAGGGTCCGTTTGGTTGATGGGTTTAAACCATGGTTCATGATTCCGACATTTGAAATTCAAATTTTTTGTGAGAGGAACACACTGTACTAGAACTAAGAACCATGGTACCCTAAGTCTCCAGTAATCTGTTCTCCTGAATCACATGTTCCCAAATGGTTCTAATTTGACATTTACATGACCATTCAGAAAAAAGGGGCTTTTAGTTAAACTTGAGAACTTAAGCTCATAATAGGTTTTCTTTCTCAACCACCATGCGTGGTTCATGCACACTTGTTTTGGTAGTGTATCATCAAAGAAACGTGGAATCTAGACTGCAAGCTCACCCACGTGATAGTGTGAGCTTATAAACCCACCCGATTGATGATCATCTCTGATCTGATCATAACAACTCTTTTGGCCATGGCTTTAGGCTCAATTATCATGTTTCTGGGGACTTTTAAGGGCCTTGAGCTTTCACATCCTTCTTTCATACCAGCCAGTTTTTCGGTGGTCTTGTGTTGTTTTCATTCTTGGACATCCACCTCCATCCTTAGCTTCTTGGTTCTTGCATGAGTTTCTGGCTAAGGTATTAACTTGTCTAAACATTTAAACAGTCAAGGAGCTTGATTCTAAGGAGCCAAAACAAGAGCTACCGTCCGGCATTTTTCAGGAAGGTTAGTACATAATTGCCTTCTTGAGATGCATTGTTCTAGTTTCTCCTTGCACTATGATCATGATTTTCTTATTCTTTGAAGGAGGATTTGGAAAAATCGTTGCTAAGGGCTTCTCGTGATCAGGGTCGAATGAACCCTGGCTTCAGGCCAGGGGAGATTGAGGTACAAATTTAGATTCCTGCAGCTCCTCAGTTTCTGTTGCAGAGCCTTTCTTTGTGTAGACTCATTTTTTATCTTCTTTTCCAGGTTGCTGTTCTCGAGGATGTAATAAGGAAGATGAAGGTGAGAATCTTTGCACTTTAATGTTCTCTTTTTTTTTTTTAAATGCAAGAAAAAAAATATCAAAAATGCAAAATTTTTTTCGAGGTTCGTTTTGAGACATTTTTGAATTAGGATTTGTTTCCTTATAAAATGTATGATATGAAAAGTAACAAGAAAAACAATTATTGCAGGAAAGTTCTGCCTCAAAGTGGGGCGATGTTGTTTTCATTCCTCCTGGATTCGATGTCGCAACTGATCCTACTGATGAAGACAGCAAATGAGTAGGCAATGACATCTTTCTGTGTTTTTGCACTTTGAGATCGTACATACAAAGATCCGAGTTAGAGAGTATATTTCATGTAGCTATTTAGCCAACTACAATGCATTCACAGTTTTTCAAGCAATACAAAAATTTCTTCCCCCATTTCTCTTCCTATCTAGCAGTGAATTCTTTCAGTTTCCTGGGAAGATGATTTTCTTTGCATCTCTATGGGTCGGTGTTGAAAATTGTATGGTGTAGCTTATAACCATCAATCATTTGAAAGTTGTAGGGTCCTAAGTCAAAATTATTGATGGGAAAATATTGCAGAGTTTTGCTAGGGTAAGTTTTGGATTCGAGTCTGATAATAAAGCTGGTTTGGATGATTTCAGGGATATCCCAAAATAATAATAATAATAATAATAATAAAATCATTTTGGGGATATGCAAGTAACGATTTGTTCTTTTCCCCTTCAGTTTGAGGCATGAAGATTCTAACTTGATCAAGGCTCCTTCTATTTTATTTTATTTTTTAACTGATGAGAGAAGCAGGAGCCACCCATGAACTTTTTTTTTTAATTATTTTTTTATATTTAATTTGTATATAATACTTTATAAAAATTGTATTTTTTGTCCCCAAAATTCTACATCTTATTTTCCCCGTTTCATTAGTTTAGTCATACTGCTGCCTCACACCTGACTAATTTTCTTGACTCTGCCCCTGTGGAAGGACTGATATTTGGCGTAGCTAGCATTGTACAATCATTTGATGAAGTATCATCTAACCACTTTTACATTTATCATTGGTTCCAAACAAAGCCAAACAATAGAAGAAATTAAAAAAAAATAAAAAGATAAAAGAAAAGGGATTCCTGTTGCAATGAAATTCTACTATTAGGTTGGCACCCTGTTTGAAAAGAATTGTAAGGCAGCTTGTGGAGGGTTTCTTTCTCTGTTTCTTTACCCCCTTTTTTTTTTCCTTATAGGAAAATGCCCATAAAAAAGATTCCAATAACAGCGAGAACCCCATAACCCAGTTCTATCTCTCTCTCTCTCCCTGGCCTCAATCAGAGGAGTGGATATGCTTTGGGATATAACATTGATAATAGATGGTTCTCGTGCATAAGTTTCATTTGATAATTCTGTAATGTTACTCTAGAAAATGTCTTGGCAGAAGAAGAGCAGGGAAAAAAATATTCATCCTTGAATTTTCATCATTTTATATACATATATTTATGAATATTTTATGAATATTAAATAAGAATTTCATGATTATTTATGTGACCTTAAATATTGTATGTAAGTGTTATATGCAAGAAGATAATGCTTAAGGAAAATAATAAAAAAAGATGTTCGTAATGAATTTAATTGAAATTCATAATTTTTAATTAATACATGTCATTCCCATTTTAAAATGGAACGGTGTTATCTGCACTGTTAATATGGTAAAATATTGAATGAGTGTATTACGCATAATGAGATTATGTGGAACATGGACACAGACACAATATGAATTTTTGATAATTTTTGTTAAGTATAGAAATTCTAATTGAGTTTACCGATAGTCATATAAAGAATGATATTAATCTTGAGTTCTTAGCAGACTCCTATTTATGAATTTGTATCTTTTGATTTACTCGGTACGAATTCTGAGATCCTTAATCCTATTCCTTGTATTTTGGAGACATGATGAAGTGGGCTGCCGGGAATGTTATCATACAAGATGGAATCCATTCCTTCTTGAGAAAGAAGTAGATAAATAATTCCCTTCTAGTGTTGATTTGGTACTTGGATTAGTAAGAGCGCTCTGATTAATGAATGTGTTTTATGAATCATTGTCCATTAGAGTATCAATGGCACTCAAGGATAAAGTTATAATTAAAGAGGTTAACGGATTTTACATAGCTCTAATTATGAATTATTTATGGATGATCGATCTATATGCAATGACTATATCAAATGGACACTTCACAGTTTAGAAGTAATTTATGTTTATAATTACGAGAGTACAATTCCAAGTTTATAGTGGAGTAACTATTGGAATTAATAGAATTAATTAATTAATTAAAGTATTTGATTAATTATTAATTTTATTGGAGCTCAGAATTATAGGTTCATGAATCCCCGCGTCATCCTTGTAATTCCACAAGACACAAAGGAGAAAATGAAAATTTTAGAATTCTGGAATTGTAAAATAAAACACTCAAGGATAATTAATTGAGAATTAAATACAAATTAAATAATGTGATTATTTAAATTTAAATTTAAATTTTTGATAATTTATGTGAAGGTGTTCACATAGTGTGAACGCAAGGCACAGTGTGAACACTTGTGGAATTATCCATTTAAACTTATTTGAAAAGTTGTTCAATTTGAAATTCAATTGATTTAAGTTTGACTTAAATTGAAATTTGAATTTGAGTCAAAATTTGACTATAGGATAAAAGTTTTTCCTCCTTCTATAACAACCGGAAGAATTAAACCGGTTTAATTATGTTAATTGTGTATATTAGTGTGCCTAAAATTGAATTTTCTAATTAATCTTGTGACTAGAGATTAAGTTCCGAGTTATTTTAAGAACTTGTAAATTATTTTCAATTTTTCAATTTTTATCCCAAAATTTTTTGAAAATACACTTAATTTTAATGTATTTTTCTTTTCCTTTTTTTTCTTTTTCCTTTCTCTCTTTCTTCTTTCCCTTTTCTCTCTCTTCCTTTTCTTTTTTCCTTCCCTATCCCCGTGAGCCCCCTACAGACTCTCTCCCTCTCTTTCTTTTTCTTCTCTTTCCTTTTCTTTCTTTCTCCAAATGCCGGCTCTTTCTCTCTCCTTTCTCTCACCACCGGCTACCCTTTTTCTGGCGTTCCCCCTCCCGACATTTTCTCTCTCTTTCCCCGGCCTTCTCTCTCTTTCTCTCTCTCTCGGCTATTCTTAGCCAAAGCAACCAAAGAAGAAAAAAAGAGAGAAATAGAGGGGAAAACAGGTTTCAATCACTTTGAGGTAAGAATTTCTTGAAAACCCACACTTTAATTTGATTGATTGACTTGAGAAATTTGTAATTTTAGTTAGATTTGATAAATTTTGAGTTATGGTTTAGATTTGGACAAATTCTTGTTCGAATCATGTCACGCCCCCCAAACTGGGTGGGTGACGTGGAGCTCGATTAGGGGTTAATAAAGCAGATTCCCAGACGAGCCCCACTCAACTGCATTAAAATATAAATAACTTACAGAATTCTGAAGTCTCTGACACACAGGCCTCCACCCCACAGGACATACAGTATCGTACATACATGCTCATGTAAATAATCATTACAACAGACATCAACCACAGTCTAGTTAATCCAAATATTACATAAGTTTACAGAATTTTTCAAATTCCTTACATTTGTCCAAGAGGATGAACTCAATCCTCACTTGATCCAACAGTAGCAATCTTCTGTTACCCCGCACCGCTCCTAGAGTCTCCTAGGAGGGGTTTAATACAATTGAAACATAAAACGTGAGCGAAAGGCCTAGTAGGATATAATTTGAAATGACTTCAAAATAAATGAGTAGATAAATGAATGAATGAATAAGTAAATAAAATTAGACATTCAGTCCCGACAGAATAGCCGGAACCTCATATCCTTTTTCTCAAAGGAAATATAACTGAAAATAACTGTATTACAGGCTTCAGCAAGTAATTAGTACAAATTACTTACCTAACCAAGTGCCTCGCCTACCCGGACTGAGTTTCGGGTTCTGCCCCTGAGGATGCACTCTCCGCATCCTATCTAGGCTTACAGTAATAGACTCTCTTACCAGTTCACAAGATCTCTTCATTAAGAAATCATTCATTAACATTCTCAAATCGTTAACATGACCCCACGAACTACTCAAGTCGCGGGCCCCATGACTGGGCAAGCCATAAGGTTTCATGACTAATCAAGCCATGGTTTTCAAAGCGTTTTTCTTTCACAAACCAATCCCTTTCTTTAAAATATTTTCAAGGCCAAATCTTCTTTTAAAAACAGGCTCACAAGGAAAAGGGATAGAAATCCTACCTCGCACTGTCAAACCTGGGACTAGCGTTGCCTTTTCTGGCTTCCGCTTCCTCAAGCCTCTTCAGTCTGAATCCTCAGCGATCACTAATGAGAGACAACACTTTAGGATTAATTCTCATTCCTGAAGCAATCCAAATCTCAATTTCCAACCAAGATTTCCTATTAGTGTGCCCTAATCCATTTTCATGTTTCAAATTATCATTCCAAGGGTTTTCAATCTCAAAACAAGGATTTAAGATGCTAATCCATTCATCTCAAGTCCCCAAATGAAGCTAATTTGGGTTCCCCCTGAAAACAGGGGTCAAAACAACAATTTCAGGCCAAACAGGGTCAAACCCGTGTGCACTGGTTGACCGGTGACAGAGTAGTGCATTACCACCGGTCGACCGGTGGTGTGCACTCCGGTCGACCGGACAGGTCGACCGGTCAGGCCAATGCAATCTGGTCGACCGGTTACCATGTGATCTGGTCGACCGCACAGGTCGATCGGTGGAATCAGCTGCGTGAGAGAAGCTCGCGGAACCAGTCCAAAACCTGCAAATCTCAATCCCAAATCTAGATATTTCAAAGGAAAACCACTAGATCTGGGTTTTAGGTCTTAAAACAAGTCCAAAGAACCCAAGATCTCCAATTTCTACTCTAGTTTTACTCAAAAACCATCAAAATCCGGTTTGAACCAAAAATAAGTTTTGAAATTCAAAAACTTGAGATTCAAGAGAGGTTCTTTCAGTAATCTTACCTCGAATCATTCTCTTGACGTTGAAAACTTCTTTAAATCTTTCCTTGGTTCAAGATCCGTTTGATTTAGGACAAAAATGAGAGAGAGAGAGAGAGAGCACGGGAGAGTGCGAGAGAGTGAGAGAGAGAGTGAGAGGTGCACGGGAAAGGAAAGGAAAAAGGAAAGGAAAAGGAAAAAGGAAAGGAAAAAGGAAAAAGAAAAGAAGAGGAAAAGGAAAAGAAAAGGACATGTGTACAATATTTTAAAATAATAGTCCAGAAATGCGCCCATACACACTTCTGGGTTAAAATAAATTACTGAGAATAATTTAAATACCTTAGAACTATGTAAACTCACACGTCAGAAACATTTATTAATCAAAACTCAATTAATTACATCAGATTAGGCACACTAATAATCCTAATTACCTTAATTAATCTCAATTAATTCTTCAGGGTGTTACAGCTCCACCCCCCTTAGGCAATTTCGTCTCCGAAATTAAAGCCTGCCTCAAAGTGTGAACAGATGCGGATACTGCTGCTGCATCATCGTTTCAAGCTCCCATGTCGCTTCCTCAATTCCATGGTCCTGCCACAACACTTTCACTAACGGGATCTCACGATGACGCAGACTCTTTATTTTCTGGTCAAGAATCTGAACTGATGCCTCCTCGTATGATGCGTCATACTGTATCGAAACGTCAAACCACTGCACTACTGCTTCCGGCTCAGGTTCGAAGCATGGAGACATGAAACACGTCATGCACGTGAGATAATTCAGGCGGTAAGGCCAACCGATAAGCCACCACTCCGATTTCTTGCACGATCGGGAATGGTCCCACATACCTTGGTGCAAGTTTCCCTTTCACACCAAACTGAACAACTCCCTTGCGTGGGAAAACCTTCAGCAAGACAAAGTCGCCCTCTTGGAATTCCAAAGGCCTACGCCTTTTATCAGCATAGCTTTTCTGACGGCTTTGAGCTGCCAACAGTCGTTCTCGAATCACAGCTATCTTCTCATTATTCTCTTGAATGACTTCTGGTCTCGTGCTCAGTCGATCCTCTGGTTCCAACCAACACACAGGTGACCTACAAGGATGAGCATATAGAGCTTCAAACGGTGCCATTCCAATACTGGCCTGATAGCTGTTATTGTACGCAAACTCAGCAAGATGCAGATATTTCTTCTAGTTTCCACCAAATTCCAGAATACAAGCACAAAGCATATCTTCCAGAATCTGAATAACTCTTTCAGATTGCCCATCCGTCTGAGGATGAAATGCGGTGCTAAAATTCAAATCTGTTCCTATGGCTTCGTGGAAAGTCCTCTAATACCTTACATTGAAGCGGGTATCACGATCAGACGTGATAGACAGTGGCACTCCGTGTAGTCTCACGATGTGCTCCAGGTACAATTCTGACAGAATCTTCTAAGAATACGTTGCACGAAACGATATGAAGTGCGCAGACTTCGTCAACCTGTCCACCACCACCCAGATGGCATCGTACTTCAGCTCGGTTCTTGATAGCCCATCAGAAAATCCATAGTGATGTGCTCCCATTTCCATCCAGGGACAGGAAGAGGTTGCAACTCTCCTGCCGGCTTCTGATGCTCAGCTTTAATCCAGAGGCAAGTCACACATTCTGAGATATACTCACGAACGTCCCTTTTCATGCCTCTCCACCAGTACTGTCTTTTCAGGTCCTGGTACATCTTTGTACTTCCCAGATGTATAGCATACCTCGATTTGTGTGCCCCTTGCAGAATCATCTTTTTTACCTTACCCGCCTTAGGAACAGCAAGGCGGTGACGGAAATACAAGGCGCCATCCTCTCGGATTCTCCAATCCTCAAATTGCTCTCCATTCTGGATCTGAATCCAAATTCATTGGAGGTGTGGATCCTGCCATTGATTCTGCTTAACCTGTTGTAAAACCCAAAATTTGAAATGGGGTTAATTTGTAATTTTTAAAGACTTAAGTGTGAAAATTTTAAAAATCTGGGCCAAAATGTAATTTTTAAGAAATGTGGGGATCAGAAACGGATAATTGGACACTCAGTGAGTCCAAACTAGTATTAATGCCACTTGGGCGTGTTCCACCTCATCAGAAAAATTCAAACACAAAAACCCACTTTCTCTCTCTTCTTTTTCTCTCATTCCACGCGTACGGCCGTACACATCCGGGGAAGATTCCGGCGTCCGTTTTTGACACCTCCCGGCTCGTTGGAAAGCTCTCGTCGAGCTGAGTCCGGATTAGTGTCTTGCGGCCGCCAACTCCGCCGGACGCCGCCACACTCGCCGGTCAAAGTTCTGAAAAATCTCAAAAACTTCCGATCGTGATATCTTCGCCGTCCGGTGTCCGATCGAGGTGATTCCGGTCCCAATAGACTCAGAGCGAAGAGACGAAGGAAATGGTACCAGCAGAACAGCTTCATCCTGACCGGAACACCACCGCCCGTGGTGGCCGGATTCCTCACCGCCGCCGCCCACGAATCTCCCTCCTCCAGCCGCTGGGAACGCCACCGC